GGTGACAGCGGGGTGCAAGGGAGTGACAGCAGAGGACAGTGTCCGGTAGCAGGGGAGAACAGGTGTGGGAAAGCTGGCAGAGTTGGAGTTCAGAGCGGAAGGGGAGAGAGGGGGGGACTTCTATTCTCACCAACAAAGTTAAAAGGAAACACAACAAGGGTCCAGCAGGTCCCCATTACAGTTGGATTTGATGACTGCAAAAAAGGACAACAAAAAGTACCCTCATTAATTTGATCATTATCTGTTCTGTTTGGTTAGGCAATCCAACCATTCATGTTGGTGGTGATATATTCAACTTCACGAGATATCGATAACGTCTTCATATTGACATCAATAATGGCCTCATATTAAGGCTAGACTGTTCATTGATGCGGGCATCTGCTTGCAGGAAACATGCCGATTCTCCATTCTCAAATTTTCCACCAAGTTGCATCCATCCATGACCACCTTGATCAGCTGGTGTCGGTTGCACCGGAGGTCCGGAGCTCACCGATTGAATGAGGGCAAATGACGAACTTGACACAAGTCTCTGGCTGCGGGGGGCGCATCTGGCAGCGTAGCGCTGGCCAGGCGGTTCCCGAAGGGAACTCCCCGCAGGGGAGACTTGGGCCAGAGGTCGACCAACTCAGGTGCTGAGTTTGGATTGTTTTGGTGGGAGCGTCACAAGATTTGAAATCCTGACGCTCCCTCAAAACTTTTTTGATGTTTGGTCTCGGATTATTAAAAACCTGCCTGATCTTATTGATCAGGCAAAATTTCAAAGTTTTAGAATCACAAAAACAATTAATAATGATTTTATCAAATCAGCATTTGAGCTTTCTTTTACGCTGACATAAGCGGTTTGATGAACTCGCACACGCCAAAAAAGCTCGACTTCAGTTGAAAAGTTGTCATTTTCAAAAATAACTACATCAAAACTCACAACATGACACCAGAATGTGAGCAGAGGGAAGAATGTACAAGAAGCAGACCCTCCTTGGGCCACAAGTAAACTAGATAACAGTGGAAGAAGAAGAGCATAGGCAGAAAAATGCACAGAAAACTGGGTTTCAAGCCTAATTTTGAAACTCAGCACGCGGGGATTGCCGCATCTGTCTTAGGCCTCCACTGGCGTGACAGCTCCGCTGCTCGCTCCCGCTCCCGCCATGGAGGCCTAGTTAGGCTCGGGCAAATGAGGGCTGGGATGATCAACGTACATGCAACCCTCAAGTTGAGCTTCTTTTGGGATGTTCATGAAGTCAGGTCAGATGATCCGAAATCAAATAAGCGGCGGGGAGCTTTGCGCGATTACGTACGAGGCGTGCAGGCCATACTGGTGCAATTGGACAGCAAAGCTTTCCAGTGATCATGAGCTCGCGCCAAATCCAAAGACGAATATTTTCTTCAGACGGAATTGCACGTGAGCGACACATAAGTTTGTGCAATTTCTTATTAAGCTTACTCCGACGATGCTCGCATGGTATTTATGCTAGCTGCCCTTCCCTTTCTGTCGGTGTTCTCTCCGTCTTCGAACGTTTGCCGTCATCGCCCCAATCTGTACATAATTGTGGTTGAGGTCACATGATCCTTTTCCAGATGTATATCTGCTGAGCTGGCCGAGACAGCCATCTCACCAATGATATGCGCGGATAGGAAGCTGGCTTACAAGCTCTACAAAGTCTAGACTCCATATTGTGACTCATGACCAGGCCTGACACTGTAGATCGGAAACACCCGATAGCTTATTAGCTGATGGCTTTGAGCCCGCCGCCCCATTTATTTTGTTAAGCTTTTGAAAACAATCCAAAGGCACAGTGTAGAGTGCACATGTCAGCGGAGTTTCATCGACTCGGAGGTCACCCACTACCTTGTGTTGATGACCCCTTCTACAAAATCTGGGGCAGGCATCACATGAAGTACACAGATGGACCCCAGTCGTGTTGGACCGAAAGAGCTCTTCAATATGGTTCCCATGATCATATATGCGTATTTACTCAGGTTAAATGTTCTATGATGATCTGTGAGCATCTATTAAACCGAGTTTTTTTTTTTTTTTCTTGTTGGGTACATAAAAGTGGAGAACAATTGAGTGTTAATACGTATTGAACCAGTGTTGCGGATGAGTTTCGCTGAGGTTCGATGTTCATCGTTGGTGTGGGTTATGCGTTCATGAGGTCGGGGGGAGATGGACGGATTGGTACGAGTGGATGATGCAAAGCGAAGCCCGTTAAAACGACTGTTGATCAACTCAAATGACTCAAACCGACTCCTGTATATATGATCACTGTCACCTCCCCAAAAGAGGCTCGACAGTCCATTTGACAACCCTCGCGTTTATATTAGTGTTGTCGCCTTTCCTGCGCTGCATCCATCGAACCCTCCAGAAAAAAGTAAGATACAGCACTTGCAGCTTTCGTGGTCGTCGTCCAGCCACCTTTCTGATGATTCCATAGCTAATAAAACACCCATTTCTTTAATCCCTTGCAGCTTGTCACCCTAGTAATAATTCCACAGCCGTCTCAAATATAATAACTTATCAGATATTTTTGTTGGCCCTGATCAATAAGAACCCGCAATCGATTTCATTGTTTCTCTAATATTCCCGCATCCCCATTGAGCATACAATCAACACCAGATCCTCTACTCTAGTTCATCCTAAAAATCACACTGCCTTTTTAGCCAAGGCCCCCTTCCTCTAAAGACTTGCGCTTCTTTTTTTTTATGTTTCTTAATTAATATCTTCAGTTTGTGGATTCGTCCGTCCTGGTTTGATTGCCACCCCGCATTCGACATTTTTTCTTCTCATTTGACCGCTTCCTAGCCCGAAAGCGTCCCCCAGGCTTATAATATTCTCATCTTTCATCATAGTCTTACCCCACACTTCCTGCTTCCCCGCCCCCCCTTGATTAAATCTCCTCCACGTTCATCTTCAGATCACGCTTTTTTTTTTAAAAAAA